CCTGGCTCCGCCACTGGTTGCTTCCCTCTCCGGAGCAACGTCTTGAAGAGACCTCTCGATTCCCTTCACACCCTTCATGTGCTAGACGCTCACGACAATGCGGTCGGTAGGTGTTCCTCCGACAATGTGGCTGGTTGTGCGCGGCTTCGGGTGAGTTGCGATTGAGTTTTGGTAGTCGGTTTTATTCGGCGTGTTTAAGGGGTCACCGTGCCTCACTCGTTCTTTCTGAAGTCGGATCTGCTGAGGTGGGCCTTCGCGGTGACGATGGCACGAGATGGGTAGTCCGTTCCGGCGCTTGTTCGGCACAGGCCCAGCTCTTTCATGCTCGTTGACAGAGTCTGCTTGGTCGTCGACGTGTGTTGCTGACTGGTTGGCATAGGCGGCGGGTTCCTCCCCAGCACACCCCCTCGCCGCAGCGGAGCCGAGCCCGATGCCGCCCAAGGCGTCGAAGAAGGACGGCGAGCCGGCGGAGCGCCCCATCCTCGGCCGCTTCTCCTCGCACCTCAAGATCGGAATCGTACGCCCCCCTCTTCTTCCCCCCTCCCGCGGATTCCCCACGTTCTGTCGCGTTAGGGAGTGCTCGCAGGGGTTTCATGGGTGCGTTACTTGTCCCTGTTCCTGTTGGCTTTGTGTAATAGGGCTTTGGAGTTCGCTTGGTCCGCACTGGCGAAGTTCGGAATCGCTGGTGGTTAGCTCGTGGCTTGTAACCTGGTGCAGATCTCATGGATTCCATGATTTTGTTGTTCAAGTTTTTATGTTTCAGCGGGGAAACATATTGTGGGAACTGTTCTAGTGTCGGATCTGTATCCCAATTCAGGCTCAAAAAGCGCCCCGTTTACTTCGCTACTTCTAGAATAGATCTCTTCGCTCTCTGTGGAATAGTAACATGTGAAATGTTATCCCTGCTTAAATCTTAGTCGGTACATGCTAGTAGGAGTAGGACGCGTTTATAACTTTTATGTATGTAACTCGGTTTGCTTGGACACAATTAGCATGTTACTATGGACTGCTGTTCAACAAGCTTCGTGAGTTGCCACTGCAGGACTTCTCTAGTTGCTTTGATGCTGTTTGACAGTACTTGCCCTTATATCCTCTATTCAGTATCGGATTTTATAAATCATAATGGACTACTCTTCTGTTGAGTGTTAATTGGCGCATCACTTGTTCTGCTGTAGCCAAGTAGTGATACGAGGAGATATGCTGTTTACTATTGATGTTTCATGCAGGTTGGGTTACCCAATGTTGGCAAATCAACTTTCTTCAACATAGTAACAAAGTTGTCCATCCCGGCTGAGAACTTCCCATTCTGTACCATTGAACCAAATGAGGCACGGGTACATGTTCCGGATGAACGATTTGACTATCTTTGCCAACTTTTCAAGCCAAAGAGTGAGGTTTGTTTCTTTTCTCTGCTTTACACTTCTATACAGTAATCTGCAGCTTCTAGGCTTATGTTTCAGATGTATAGTGACTTTTGTTATTCTCTGCAGGTGGCTGCATATCTGGAAATCAACGACATAGCCGGGCTTGTTAGAGGAGCAAGTGCAGGGGAGGGTCTGGGCAATGCCTTCTTATCCCATATACGTGCTGTTGATGGAATCTTTCATGTCTTGAGTATGTCTCTCTTGTAAAATGTTTATAATTCAACTATTGTATTATGCTTCTTAATGAAGTTCCCTTGGTTATGTTTTGAGTATATGTTAAAAGTGATAAATTTTGGATGTCTTGGTGGAGACCTAAATGAGAAGACTAGCCAAATGTTGGCATTGCCAAACATTGGCGATACCAAGACTTGCCAAATATTGGCAACTTTATGTTTCATAGACAAGAAAACTTGGCAACCCACCAATTAGCGGCCAATATGCCAATTTTTGGCACCAAACCAATTACGCGCTAGGTGTTCATGTAATAGAATCTTTTGCTGTATCTGTAACTGATAGTATGGTATGATTTTTAGGAGCATTTGAAGACACGGAAATCACCCATATTGATGATACAGTTGATCCTGTTCGTGATTTGGAAACTATTACTCAAGAACTGAGGCTCAAGGTTTTGTTTGAGTTCTGCTTGATTTATTTGTCAACTTAACCAGTTGTTAACCTAGTTGTAACAAGGTTCTGTTGCACTTCTGTAGGATATAGAGTTTGTGCAGGCTAAAATTGATGACCTTGAGAAGGCAATGAAGAGGAGCAATGACAAGCAACTTAAGATAGACCATGAATTATGTCAGAGGGTAGGGCATGCTTTACAGCTCTGCAGTTTTGCACTTTTGCTTCATTTCTATCAATCAGTTAGATCTCATGAACTATTGAAATTTAGTTTCAACTTTTGTCGGGAGATTAATCGGTAATTTAATTTCAACTTTCCCTTACAACAGATCATGACACATCTTCAAGACGGGAAAGACCTACGTTTAGGAGAATGGAAAGCTGCTGAAATTGAGATCTTGAATACCTTTCAGCTGCTTACTGCTAAGCCAGTTGTTTATTTGGTAATTTTTACTTATTTGGATTGGAAGAATGGTCTCATTTGATTAATATGTACAGGCTTTGTTTGAACTTTTTATTAGCAATGACATCATTTGATTAATTATAGTTACATGCTTGTTGCTTGAACTTCTTTACCAGCATTTCCATCTATAATTTAGTGGCATCCCATATTTAGTCCGGAATTTCAATCAATGTGACATTAACCCAGCTTTGTTTTCCCCTCTGTTTTGTTGTTGCTGTCTGTCTACTTCTGCTTTCCAACATTTATTTTGAGCCATTACAGAACCGACGGGCGACTGGTAATCGATACGCCATACTCTTGGCATTTGTATGATTAGCAATAAGTGCATGCTCTGTAGACAATTAACTGAGTTTTATCCGATCACAGGAAACATAACTAGAAAAAACTATTGCATGCTTCTTGCTATAGCATTAGAATAGGGGAACCTTTTTAGTTCCATATGCCAGTTTATTCCACTCCACTGTAAGGCACTGCAAGTCTGTAATAGTTGAAGCAATTGTCAAAGTTGCACTTCCATGCGTGAGCAAGAACCAAAGCAAAGTATGCAAGAAGTGTCACTAGAGTTTAAGTGAACTAGTGAAGTAAGGAAATCCCAAGATATATGATGTTTCCATATGGATTCTTACTTTTTTTGGACCCAAAAGGCACATCAGGGTCCCTAATAGGAATATAGGGATGGTGTGCTGTAGAAGGGTTTATGAAGATTAGATATTACTTTTCACTTTCATATGATTATTGCTCACCTGTTGAGAGGGAAATGAAATGGGAAGCATAAATTCTCTACTTGAAAAACCTACTGATGTACTCGTTATATGATGGTACATATAACTAATAGCTGCTGCGCATACATCACCTGAAATTATATTTATTTTAGCAGCAAGAGAAAATATCTCTTTGATATCTGGAATTATCCCACGTTCAGCTTGAGTAATCATGCCAAATGGACATTAATCGCTCTGCTATAACTGTAGCTCATTTACTGGGTTAATCCTTAGATTTGACCTAGTTGAAACAGAAAAGCACCTTCTCTTTTATATGGCTTCTAAAAGGCCTAACCATCCTTTTTGAAAGTAAAATGTAGCTGTATTGATTAGTCTAGTATGTTACTTTGTGCAGGTGAACATGAGTGAAAAGGACTACCTGAGAAAAAAGAACAAGTTTCTACCAAAGATACATGCTTGGTACTATTTCTACCCCAAGTCTAATGGCTATAGCAGAATTACAGATAAACTCATGCTATACGGCATGCATTTCAAACTGCGAATGCTAATTTTCTGTGGAACTTCTGTTCATGTACAGCCTAATTGCTGTAGCAGGATAGATCATTTTGAAGCTAAATCGTTTCAAGTTTCCATCATTATATCTGGTTGTATATGATATTTGTTCCAACTTGCTTGTTGAGTAGAGCAGCTGTCTGGTTAAAAACACATTGGTTTTATTATTGAAAAAATGTTATCACAGAGAGAGCCAGTGTTTATGCTTGGACTTGTTGATTACTGTATTTGAGGGTAGAATCTCGCAAAATTTATGGATCGCTTACATATGAATACCAGCAATTGTCATAGGCAGTGGGCCAGGTCCCAGTGGTATGTGTCAGCACTCAGCACTAAGGAGCACTATTCATGTGGACAGTACCCACATGGCATCTGTCAGCACTAAGCAGGAATTACTACTATTCACGTGAACTGTACCCACTTGAACAAGATAAGTGCAGTAGGTCTTTTAGTTACAAAAGTAGTATATCTGTTCAGTTAGGAAACGAGATCAGTTTAGTTAGGAAAGTAAATATATTTGATCTTTACCGAACTTCTTTTAGTTAGGAAGGTATATATATCTGCTATATATATTAGACATGGTATCTGCCAGCACTATTCATGTGCGTATATATACACACACACCACCATATCAATTTAGCATTGAACGAGTTCAGTAAAGATCTAATCACCATCCTCAACCTTCTCACTTGGTACTCACCGTCTCAGTCCTAGAACCGACCCACCATGATACTGAGAAAAGCCCATGAGACAAAAGAAGGCCTGATGGTTGATGGAATAAATTGTATTTTCCTGAAGTATGTTGTAGGCTCTTGTCCACAGTAAGAAATTGATTATATGAAGTTCATGTGGTTGTGATTTTGATTAAATCTGATTATGTTGTGTTTGATTAGCATAAACCTAATATGCATAATTTCCTATGAGAAGGGGCTATTGCCTATTGGAATATTAGCTAATATCTAACTATTTCTTATTCAGGGTGAAAGAGCATGGTGGTGAAACTATTATTCCTTTCAGCTGTGCCTTCGAACAGAAACTAGTGGATATGCCAGAAGATGAAGCTGCTAAATATTGCACCGAAAACCAAACGACAAGGCAAGCCATAGCTAATTATGGCCGAGTTGATTACCACAATTAAGATAGCAATCAAGTTTATTTATTTGTAACATGCATTACAATTTCTCTCTGCATTTATTTATACTAAATCTTTCACCACTGTGAACAGTTTGATCCCCAAAATCATCAAGACTGGTTTTGCAGCAATTCATCTCATATACTTCTTCACTGCTGGTCACGGCGAGGTACATTTCGTATGTGTACATTGTGGTTACTTTGTGCCAGTACTATGTGTGTTGTGTAAGCCATGTTTTCCTTTATTTTGCTAAAATGGTGGTCCAACAGCTGTCTGTCACAGTTTTGGTGTGGAAAATTCATGTGCTCAGTATTTATTGGTTATTGCCTCTGCTCCAAAATAAGGGGTGCAATCAAGCTTATAACATTCATAATCAGTATGTAAAGAATTTAATGAGATTTGACAAATGAAAATAATATCCTTTTTTTTCTTCATAATTCTTTTTTTTACTGACATATCAACAATAATGGTCAAAGTTGCATCTTGTTGGCTGTTCATGTTCTAAACGTGGAGGAATATATTAGAGTGTTTAGATGTCTATTCATGTTTTAAGTTTCAAATAGGAGTTTCTGAATACATTTGACAGTTTTCTGCTGGCTTACAAGCTTGAATTCTCTTTTCAGGTGAAGTGCTGGCAGATCAGACGTCAAAGTAAAGCTCCGCAAGCTGCTGGTGCAATTCATACTGATTTTGAAAGAGGCTTCATATGTGCTGAGGTAGAGTCCTTTCTGAAATAGCTAGACACAATTCCTTCATTTGGAATAATTGAACTGTGGCATTCTTTGTTGACAGTGTAGTTTAACTGTTGCTATTCTTACTATTTGCACTTCATTATGCCAAAGTTTTGTCCCCAAGGTACATGATGCTTAGGCATGCTTTTTTTTTTTCAAATCTTGATGTTTACTGAAGCTCCTTTCATTATGTTAACTTGATGTATTTCTGTTTGCGGTGTTCAAAATGATAAACGACATTCCTTTTTTCTCTTTCATAATATTTTGGTACTTTTGCTTTGAAATTGGAAATGCACGCTGTTATGGCCGGTACTATGGCATTGTTTACTTGACTGTATGCACATTTGGAACCTTGATAGTTCATATATATAAATCTACTATTTTTGATCAGGTAATGAAGTTTGAAGATCTAAAAGAGCTGGGCAGTGAATCTGCTGTGAAGGTGTGCAAACACTTGTCTATGTTAGATCTGTATCAGTTGCCTTTTGATCTTTAAACTCAACGTTATGAGTTACGCAACCGTTTGCCATGGATTGCAGGCTGCTGGGAAGTACAGGCAGGAAGGGAAGACGTACGTGGTGCAGGATGGAGACATCATCTTCTTCAAGTTCAATGTTTCTGGAGGCGGAAAGAAGTGATAAATTCATCACAGGGTCGTGTATTTTTGCATTTTTGAGTTCACTTGCTAGTAGCCAGGTACTATCAGTACGGATTGCAGACTGCGGGGAGGCTATATATAAATTTTCATTCGCTCTGCTTTTGAAATTACTCCTCGATGTTATGTGCCAACTGCCAACCGTACGCCTGAACGATGTTTGAGGCCTCTATTAGAAAACTGGAAGTTGTAACTTTGTGACTGGACAAGTTTGTCGTAATTAGGATACAAAGTTCTTTGTTATGCAATTCTACCGTTTTTTGTTGCATGTGTAGTTCCATAATTTTTACGATTGCTTTGATTACTTTTTGGATATATCGTCTCTTAAATTGATTGAGTACCTCTCTGTCCATGAGAGGAAAAAAAGAGACAAAATCACATGCCTCCACTGATTAATTGTGGCGCTTAAGTGAAACATATCTTAGGGTCCATAATATCTTAGTATCGAGCTCTAAATTTTGCTTGGTGCACATTATATTTTTTTAGTCAATCTTCATGAATGTTGATCAAGTTTATTGAAAAACGTATCCATGTCTGCAATATCAAAAACTACTTCCGATTTAGATAATTGAAGTTTTGGGTTTGTCTCAAGTCTAACTTGTTTTAGTTAGACCAACCAACCCCACCAAGCAAGCATTGAGGCTCCTGTCTATTTCTTTTTTCTTGATATACAAATCGTTTTATATTTTGTAGTACGTGCTATTGAGGAATAAAATTTTATTTAAAAATAACACGTCAAGTCGCACTTTGTTTTGTGGTATATGACCCTTCATAAAGTGAACAACCACTACATGCGTTAAATTATCATGTGGGCTGCCTTTCCGTATAAAAATGAGCTCCACCGTGTATCCGCGCGGATGTTGTTGGAAACGAGACCTGAATACGCCCGTCGTGTGTGCATCACTTCTCTTCGTGCACGTGCCCCACCTACGTGTGTGTGTGTGAGAGAGAGATACACACCTAAAGAGAGATGGTGTGTGCGTTCATGAGTGTTTTTTTGCGTGATTTCGTAAGTGTACTTGTGTGCGTGAGAGATAGACAGGGAATACATGTCAATTATATCTCAAAAAAGTAACATACGCAATGTGTGTGAAACAGAGACCTAGATATATTTTATATAGAGGGGGCGATCCACGGAAAGAGAGGGGAGGGATCATCGACGTGAGATATCGATAGAATGGAAGAGAGGGATGAAGTATGGGCGCGAGAATGATAGAGAGATAGCAAAATTGTGTGTGCGCAGGTCAAAGATATAGGGTGGCCGCCCTACTGGAAGGTGAGAGGGGAGAGGTGCAGTTTGTGTGTGGCAGGGACCTAACTAG